CTTTGACTTTGCTTTTATTTTGCCTCTGGCTATCTACTACTACTTACTTTAGTATTAGTTTGGGTTTCTGCAATAACTTAGCAGAGATAAGATAAGTTACTTACTTGTTATACTCATAAACCAGCAGCAAATAACCACCCAATAAGACCATAATCCCAACTCAACTTAATACCAGCAATAGCTAACTAGTAGATAAGCAACCAGTACTGATACTAACCCAATACATAATTGTTGTTTTATGGCTTTTGCGGTCTCTTGTGTTAGTATTGAGTTGAGTTGGGATATGTTGGGATGGGTTGGGATTAGTATTGGGTTAGGGCCTCTAGGTTTCGGCGGAGTGCTTGTTGTGCCGGCTGGTGAGGACTTCCCGTCTTCTTTCTCCTGATCTGAGTTGAGTTAGGATTGATTGTTGTGAAGTTGTAATATCATATTAAACTGTGATTTATTGAGCTAGGTGTTTAGTATTGAGTTGGGTTGAGTCGTGGTGGGTTTAGGTTTAGCAGTCGAAATAGGAGTCGAAATGGAAGTTGAAATAGGAGTGGAAATAGAAGTACAAATGGAAGGTTTGGATTGAGATGGGTTGGGTTGAGTTGGTGGTGATTCAACTGGTGATTCTGGCCTATCTCTAAGTCCTGAACTGGGCTTAAGTCCTCTTTCCAATCCTAACTCTTCCCAGTCCTCAACACTAAGCCCTTTTGTCATCGGTCTCCTAGCACCATACAATGTATCACTCGATACATCACTTGATCCTAGTCCTAGTCCTTCTCTGCCTCCTACATAGATTAGACATCCTGGATCTGGCCTCGCTGGCTTTGAAGCTATTGATATTACTCGTAAAAGCAGAAGGAAAAACAACACTACACTCAGTACACCCAAAGCCATCTCGAGTCTTTTTGTCTGCCGTCCTGCCATGCCTCTTCCTATTCCAGATCTCCTTAAATCTTCTTTCCTTTCACCTATTGATCACTTTGATTGTATTTCTGCTCTTAATCTACTTATCTCAACTTGTGTTAGGTTAAGTTGAGTTGAGTTAAGTTGAGTTAAGTTGAGTTAGGATGCAAATTAGTGCTGGCAACGCCCATCGCTTACTTAATTACGGGGTTGGTACAGGGTTAGTATTGGGTTGAGTTGGGTTAGGTTGAGTTGTGTCAGCTCGTGTTAGGCTTATTCGGGATAGGCTAGGATAGGTCGGCTTGATCACTTCAAGGAACTTTTCCCACTTTGCATTAGTCCATGTTAGGTCACCCAACAAAGCAGTCAATCTCGTCTTCAATTTCTCTGGAACGTCTTCTAATAAATAACTTAGCTCTGTTGGATCCTCTTCCGTTTGTATTGAGTTGGGGTCGAATAAGCTCTCTGCTAACTCAATCACTAACAAGGGAGTGTCAAATATCCGCAGCATAATAAGAATCAATTTGAATACTTCTTGGCCCTGCCACATCCATAGAAGTCGAATGCGCATGGAAAGTCTGCATCTGACTATGTTTAGCAAGCTAAGCTGTTCAATATACTCCAGGCAACGAGATGCGGGTGTTTTCTCTTTCATGTAGAGCATAATATACCTTAGTTGTTTAGCGGGTTTGGGAAATACATTATCATCTAAGGAAAGGTCCCACTTAGATAGATTAGAGTCATATGCCCATTCATGGTCTTCGTACTTCCTAATCAGGTGGATTTCCTGCAGACACTTAACTAGTGGAGCATCTGGTGTTGTTGGGTTGGGTGGCTGGGTTTGGGTTAGTTTAGTATTGGGTGATGGTTGAGAACTCACTTCTTCTTCCTTCTCTTCCTCTTGGGCAGGTGCTAAATGCTGCACTTGCTCTTCTGATCCCGCTCCTGACCGCTTCACATCCTCATCTATCACATTCATCACATCCTCCTCTTCTATCACATCCTCATCTTCCTCTTGAACAGGTGCTAAATGCCGCACTTGTTCTTCTGGCCCCTCTTCTAATCCAACACCCACTTCAGTTGGACTGGCACTTCTTGCCGATTCTTGGCTTGTTGACTCCGCATTAGTATCACTATTTGGTATAGAGTTGGTTTGGGTTGGGTGGAGTTGTGGTGAGTTGATTTGCGGTGGATTGTTCTCTTCTACTTGCGTTGCGAAATCCACTGGGTCTATTTTCATGTGTTTGCTCGTCTGGGCTAGTATTGGGTTGGTGAGAGAAGAATCCGACTGCTCGGGGAGCGCTGGATGCTCTGCATCACTACAGGCCACCTTCATGTCCTGGCACTCCAACCAATACATTCCAAATAACAAAACACTAACCAACAGAGCCCAAAGATAAGATCTCTTAACACGTATTGCTTGTAAGAACTTGAACATGCGATTTTTTCTATCTCTTCTATCCTTTTAATTTGCTATCTCACTATCCCACAATCTTTTTGATCTTTTCAAACTCAATACTAATCCAATCTGACTATCTCACTCTTCTCTCCCACAAACCATCCTAACCCAACTTAACTCAACCCAAACCCACCTTAACACTGCGCACATAACCCAACACCAATACCAATACCAATACCAATACCAATACCAACTCCTATTTCTTATCTCTAAATTCTCTTAAATTTCAAAGACAATAGTCACTAACTCAACACAATACCAAACCAAACCAAACCATCATAATACTAACTAGACTTTTACTAAGTTGAGTTGGCATTAAGCGACACTACCGGATAATCTCTCACATGTTTCGTTTTGATATCGTATTTTTCGCCAACCAACTTAAGGAAGGCGTCCCAAAGCTCACGATTACATGAAGTAGCGATCTTAATAACAAGTTCGCTCTTTTTCAGCTTCGCGGGGATGCCCTCCAGTAAAGGCCTAAACCTATCTACTGATTTCACATCAAGCGGGGCCATATTCGCGTCCGTCCAGTTTATTTCGATTGTAGGACTATCCGCAATCCGCAGTAGAAACAATAGCAGCTCAAGTTGGTCTAACATCTCATTTTCCGTTGTCTCTCCGACAATCCTTATCCGATCCGGACTAGTGATCTTTTTCAGGGGTTGTAAGGCTTCTAGACACTGTTGGTAGGTTGTCAATTTCTCATTTGGGTTAGTACTAGTTGGGTTGGGAGTTGGGTTGGGAGTTGGGCGAATATAAAAGCCGTTAGTTCTTATTTTCAGTGTCTGGCAGAAGTATATGTCGATGACTTTACATACGCCTGGTGTTTCTTTCAACTTACACAAATAGCTTATTAGTTTCACTACCTGCATATCTTCTACCACTCGCATTCGATCCTCTATTGAATTCATCTCAAGAATCCAGCCTATGGAACCATCTGGATTACAAAATTCTATCAACCGGTTTCCTACCAAAGGTTGAACCATTATATGCATCCATTCCAAACAAGCAGTCATTCTTTTTCTCTCTAACTGTGCTCGGTGTTCTGGCATTTCGCTATTGAAGTTATCTAGGCCAGATAAATGGAAATTATCCCATTCTACGCATGAACTATCTTCTAACAATGCTTGAGCTAAAGGTGGCCAAAATTCGACATCTGGCTCTAACTCCATTTCATCTGAGTTAGTATTGCTATCACTACTACTACCCAATACCACACCAAACCTCACCATAACACAACACAACCACACTAATACTAACTTCAACCTTAATCTAGGCATTCCTTTTTCTTATCTCTGCATTTTATTAAATTTCAAAAGCAACCATCACTGATTCAAAAGATAATTGGATTGGTGTTGTGTGAGTATTAAGCGTGTATTTGTTGTGCAATACCATCTGAGCTTCATGATGTTTTGGGTTAGTAGTTGGTAGTGAGGTTACAAGTTTAAAATCAACATCATATTATGTGATTATGTGATAAGAATTAGTCCCTTGAAGAGAAAGGCAAATAGTTATCTGAAGAATCTAAGGAATGCGTTCAAAACATTGCACTTTCTTGACAATTGGGTTAGTATTGGGTTGGTATTAGCTAAGAGGAATCTTTTTTCTCCGCGAGCACAACATCACTAATTTCCAGAACAATAGGGCCGGTAGTGCTCAAAGCCTTGCACCGCTCCTTGTCAATAATGTAATGTTTGTCGATCAAATTAATGATAGAAATCCAAAAATCTTGATGAAGTCTGTTGTGAATTTTAAAAGAAAGCCCGCGGGCTTTTATATAGGCTGGAATGCTTTCGGGTAAACACTCGAACCGTTTTAATTGGCTCGAGTGAATCGGGTTGAGTGCCGAGTCTTTTATCTCTACCAAATTTACTACAACCCTAGGAGCATCTAAAATATGCAGTAGAAAGAATAACGTTTCCATTTGATGGAATAGGTCTTTATCTTCCATCGCTAGCCACAGCTCTACTTTCCCATCACTTTTGATCGTTTGCACTTGCTTTAATTCTGTTAGACAGTCGCCATAGTTTATGGGCGGCAGGGCTATATCATCCTCTGGCGCCTCATTGTTATTGGGCCGTGTCGGTTCGCTGTCTATATTTGGACCTTCTGACACGGTAATTCTCCAAGATGTGGTGCGGTCTAGATTACCATCTGATCCAACTTCGTAGTAGGTTTTGCTTGTAATTACTCCAACCCGCTCTAAGTAAGAAATCACGATAATCTCCTCTGGTCGAATATACCTCTCTATTGGGTTGTTCTCACTCAATTCTTCTGTCTCGAATCCGTACTTTGGGTTAGTATGTGTAAGGCCAAGTACTAACCCAACACCAACCCAATAGTACAACCACATCCACATGTACTTTGAGTTCATAGCTACCACGTGCTTTGCCCGAGTCATTCAATACAGTGCTTTATTGCCAAAGCCGTACTTATGCTTTCCCAAACCAATTCAATATATCCTAATTGGGCTTAACTGCCAACCCAATACTAACACAATAAACAAAAACAAGAAGATATCTGTCTTTCTAACCGCCCACCACTCTATCTCTATTGGGCTAGTATTGGGTTGGGTTAGAGTAGGACTGGGTTGGTGCCTGCTACCCCAATCTTCAATAAACAATCTGTATCTATCTCTACTGCCGTGTGGCTTGGCTAAAGAAAGAAGGAACTTTGCTTTTTAGTGTTTATTTGAGATAAGCAACCAATTTTTAGATCTGGGTAGTATCATGGCTTATAACCCCAAAGAAAGGCTGGCATAGATAAGAATCCCACAACAAAGGCCAGACATACCAACCCAATACCAAACCAATACCAAACCAATACTAACCCAACTCAAGCCAGCCTAACTCAGCATTTGCTTCATTTTCTTCTGTCAAATCTATGGGGTTGGTGCTAGATGATGGGTTAAGAACCAAATCTCTCTGCCCATCTTCTTTTGGTAAATCAATAGGCTTGCGTGGCTTGCTATCCAAATTGCATTTCTTTTGAGCCTTGTTAATGATATTCTTGAAAAGCTTCCCTTCTCTTGGGATCGTAATCCAATAGAAAAGCTCTAACTTCTCCATCTCGTCTGGAATGGTTTCTGGTGTGGACTGGGTGCACGGTGGTGATGTGCGGATTAGTAGGTCTGCTTTTTCAGTCCATTCTATCATGATATCGAACAGATCCCTGTTTTGCAGCATAGCTAGCAGAAGTTGGCATGGCGGGGATAGTTTGTCTACTATTCCCCCACCCAAAACCAATTTCCTGTCACATAGATATGCTATTTTCTGCCAACTTAACTCTTGCTGGCCAGCATTGAACGACTGCTCTGTATCGATCCGACTTAAAGTGACGGTATTAAAAACCAAACGAAGCAGACACCTTTTAACATTGTGGTTAGTACCTTCGCCGAAAGTAAGAGCCAATTTATGGTTGCTTGTTGTGCTGTTTGGAGTTCTAACGCATGACAAGGTGTATCTGGAAGTCTCGTCAATTATTCCGAACTCTTTTAAGCCCATAACTATTCTTTCCTTGATCTCCTCTACTTTTGGACTGTGTGACAGATTAGCTGGATTAGCCATTGCATTCAACTCTATCTCTTTTTCTGCTATCTTAGCATTTAGATTGCTATCGGCACTAGCCAATACCACAGCAAACCCTATCAGAACACAACCCAGCCATGCCAGCGCTAACCCCCAACACATTCCATGCATCTACTTTTTCTTATCTCTCAAACTTCTTAAAATTCAAAAGCAACCAACACAATGATAACAATAGCATTTATTTGCCAGCCACTAAATTAATAGCCAAAATACGCATCCCATCACCCTAACACCAACGCAATACTAACACATTCTTTTCAGCATTTATCGCATTAGGAATACATCTGCTTCAGCTCCTTCTCTCTGTGCATCTTGCTGTCTGCCTAGACAATAAAGAGCAGCAGACCCTCCAGTCGGCAAACCAGAGATGGTTGTATTCTTCCTAGTGAGACACAAAACTCATGCTATACTAAACCACACCAATACAACACCACCCCTATACTAACTTCAACTATATATACTTCCTACCTTATGACGTGTGAGCACTGGGTTGAGCTGGATTGAGTGACGAAGTATGTGTGATGCTCTGGAATGTATTGATGAGTGGTGTTGGATTAGGAGTGCAGAGCATTCTATCTCTTCTTTAGCTAAGTTTGATATCTCACACCCGGCTAGCCCAAACGTTCCTTGCTCGGCCAACCTGTTATTATTAGATCTTGGCGGCATGCCAGCCATTGCAAAGGCGTTCAGCCAGATAAAGAAGTAAAACCATCGCGGCCACAGTATTTTTGAGCTCATTTTTCCCTTGCAAATTTGCTATCTCAAAATATAATGCCTTGCCATCTTCTTATCTCTGATCATTTTGATTGAGAGATGCTCTTTTCCATCTCGGTACCCAAAGTCAATTTAAGACCTAGACAAGTAAAACCAAGCCCGGATAGATTAGCCTAATCCTAGTATATCCTAGCACTCTGAAGACAGCCAAAGCACTTATTTGAATTGGTGTTGGGTTGAGTTAAGTTGAATTTGAGTTAGTGCCACAATAGTATGCTAGTATTGGGGTAGTAAGCTATCTCGTCTTGTTTTCTGGACCGGTCAGTCTTGTTGTATGATCCAGCAACTGATTAGAGTCTCTTGACCGATGAGCCTGCTCTCATCCTCTACTCTATCTACTTGATCTACTCTATCTACTCTACTTATTTCCCCACACGGCATAGAATTGAATTGTTGTTTAGGTCATGAACTACTTCTTCTCTTCTCTCCTCTTACCCACAGCCAACCAATACCAACCCAACCTGTTTTTCTCTCGTTCTAGATACACACAACATACAAATCTGCTAACCCAAATACCTTTAATATCTTAAACAACACAACCCACACCTAACTTAACCTAACTCAATCCAGTTTTTGTCCACTAACGCCTTCTTTTTGATGTTATAGGTCTTTTTGAGTTGTCGAAAGAACTCGTCCCAGTACTTAATCGTGGCCGTGCTGTGAATCGTGAACACAATCTGCCGCTGCCTCATTTGGGGTAAGAAACCCCCTGGTCTGGGGCTAAGATAATCTATACCCGCCTCGGTGTCTCCCTGTGCATCATCCAGCCAGTTAATGCTGAGACACGGCACGTCCAGGATACTTAGCAGGTGCCGGAGCACTTGAGCGGCCTCCTGGGTGTATCCCATTTTGAATCCGGCTATGCGCATGGGCACACTGCTTGTGACTAGCTGTAAGGGCTGCAGATCCTTTAGAGTTGCACTGTACTCCTCTACGCCCCACTTTCTCGGTACAAACACGACGTGATTTCCTTCGTAATAGGTGGGTATTCTGCTCCCTTCGGTGCTCGCCCTGCAATCCAACCTAAATACTAACCCAATACTAACCACTTAATTGGGCTGGCATCGAAACAAGTGTCGTCAAACGTTGTGCTGGGTTTGGGGCTGGGCAGGACTGACCAGAGATGGTCTGCTGGGTTATCTAGCACCTGCATCTCCTGTAATCGACTTATTAGCACTGAATGGAGGTCCCAAGATCTAGCATCGAATAGTGCCTCCTCTTTTATTCTTTGGATTGGGGGCAGGGATTCGTCTCTTTCGTGTTCTCCTTCTTTATTTCCCTCTCTGCTCTTACAGCTTGTCCATTCCATCTCCATTTGACTTGCGCTCTCTTGGTCCTTTAGACTCACATACAGACACATGACTTGATTAATAATCAGGCCTGCGATACCCAGACAGACAAAGAAGTAGCACCACCACTTCCACAAGTTCTTTAGGCTTATATCTATCATGGAAAACTGCTATCTCAAAATCTAATAACCTACTTTGCCATGCTTCTAGCAATCAATTTGATTCTTTAACATGCCACCCAATATCAACTTAATAGAATACTAATCTAAAACTAAAACATAACCCTTCTCTTTTCAAAACTACTCATTGGGTTAGTATTGCTTTTATTCTCTAATTCAAATCTAACTGAATACTAACTGAATACTAACTCAATTCAATATCTCCTTCAACCTCTTTTTGAACCATGGCGAGAAGGAGTTCTGCAGTAACTTTGCACGGAAGATAGGATAGATCTGCCTTACATTCTCGGCAGTCAGTACTTTCATCCCTGAAAAGGAAACCATAACGTTATGCACCTCTAACCCAGGGAAGACCTGTGAGTCCTTCTCCACGGGAATATCAATCTCCTCCATGGCTTCTATCCATGGGGCGTTTAGAATGTTGCTGTAGAGTTTCCGTTTATGCGAAAGACACTCGTACACAGGAATTCGCTTGGATGACAGCACCTGCGTAAGAGACATGTCGCCAGTGCAGCCCGCAACCAGCTCGCTTTTTAGTAAGAAGTATTCGAAAGCTTCGGGCGAGAGATTCTCGTACGACACCACTCGAACTGTTCTGTTGATTTCTGGGAGGTAGATCTGTTGTACTCCATCATCCCCCATTGTGATACGAGCCTTGTTGAAAATACCATGTACTATATCCTTGTGTGCAGCCTCATCTGCTTCTGGCTTCAGCGATTGTTGGCTTTTCTGAGACGAGAGGCGGTGCTTCCAACGACTTTCCCCCTTAAGTTTGGCCTCTTCGTAAAAATCAAGCTGGTTCACCAGGAATGTGATGGGAGTATTTGGGTCTTGATTGTCCAGGCCCTGTAGCTTAGCAATCGGGGCCAAGGCTAGTTTGAGTCTTAAAGCCAGACTCTTGAATGTATTCTTATTAGTAAACAAGTTGTAATAGGCAAAATGGTACGGCACACCTACGCCTATCTTCTTCTCCAACTGTTTCACATACTCTAAGTTGAACTTCTTTTTGGCCTCTTCTCCCAGCCTGTTGTAGAATTCGTCGGCACTTACCTTTAGACGCACACAGTCTTCCTCAGAGACACCTAACCCGTACTTCTCTTTGTAGTCCAGAAAGAAGATCCGGGTTTCTTGACAGGCACTTCTGCGGTCTTCTTTACGGGTTAGTATTGGGTTAGTATTAGCTTAGTATTAGTTTAGTATTGGGTTCAATTTATTGATCAAGAGACTAGTGTTGACTTAATTGAATTACAGGTTAGTATTGAGATAAGTGAATGTGTTAGTAGTGGATTAGTATTGGTGGGGTGTGAGATCTTGAGATGTGAATTAAATCGTTCACTGCACCCATCCGTTACTTCACAACTTATATCTACTTCTTTGGACTGGCGGGCCTGGCTGGACGTACTACACTACCAGACGCGTCGGGATCTTTGGGGCCGCGGCCCTCTAAGTGCCAGTGCAAGCCAGCCAAGGCCAAACTAACTAACCCAAGTACACCGCACGAACACACAAAGAGACCGCAGTACCAGACCCACGAATGCTTTAGATACCTACTTATCATGAAAAATTGCTATCTCAAAACCACAAGGAAATTTTAATCCTAATCTGTAAATAGTGCCATGGGTACTTGAATACTTTCCTCTACCCAGTATTTCGTTAGTATTTCGTTACTATTGGGTTAGTGACATACCCATGTGAATGGGTCCCTCTTAATCAACACCAACCCAATGCAACACTAACCCAATAATACCAACACAATGCAATACCAACACAATGCAATACCAACACAATACGACATTTTATTTTATACTAACCTGACAATTTCCTTTTATGGTAATTTTCTACGATCGAATTACTTAAGATTTTTTAGCCTTCCTTTAACCCATGAATAAGCGACTAAGGAGCCCACTGGACAATCTAATCTTGTCTCTCTTATTTATTCTAAGCTTGTTTAAGATATCATATCAAACTGTGAATTCTGACGATCAGCAAGTACAACTTCCTCTGCATTCCAGCTTTATTTTACCTAATGGCCTTAAAGGCCTTGTTATTAACCAACCAGAGAGTTCAATAACCCACGTTAGTATTGCCATCAGGAAACACCTACATGCCACCTCGGCCCAAAACAAGGGGCTCAGCTGCTTTTTAAATGTGGCCCTCAAATATAAGTTAGACCCCAACAACCACAACGACGCTGAGTTTAAAGAATTCCTAGCCCAGCCCAATATCTACAAAACCACCGATATGGGTAATTTCCTTATTATCGAGTTCTTCGCAAAGAAATCTCAAAGTCTAATTCCATTGAAGCTCTTAACATCAGTTATTGTCACTCCACCTACTCTAGAAGAAGCTTCCCAAATCAATGACACCTACCTTGCAAAACATCACCCCACCCCACCCACACCAGGTGTTATTGAGAACAAAATCATTGCGTTATGGAACAGTATATTCTGTTTGTCGACTATTAGGCTTGCAATTGCCACCCCTTGCCAACCAGTAGAGATAGTTGATTTGCTGACGAACGAGTATAAAGACCTCGATCAAACATCTGAGCCAAAAATGTACATCCCTTCTAAGACCAAGGTGTTGAAAGATTTGCTAAGCACTAGAAGGGATAATACCCCAACTCAAAGCGAAAGCACAACGATCACTCTTTTTATTCCACTTCTCAACGATATCAAAAACAAAACTAGGCAGCCTATCATTGACTTACTCCATTTATTAACCTGTTGCAACAAAATCTACGACGGCTTTCTTCAATATTCAGGCAACATTTGGGCTCAACTCAAGGAGATACCTAGAATTACTCTGAAACTCATACCTAGTGTTTATCTCGTCATAGAAATAGACAATAAGGATAGAGTTGATCCTTCTGAGGCTCTAGATCTAGTGGATGGTTTCTTCCAAGCTATCAAGGCAACCTACAAACAATCATACTCGAAGATAGGCTGGTGCCACAAAACTATTATAAACTCGACCAGACTAGCACCCATGAAGATGGAATTGCCCTGTATCCCTAATCTAGTCTCGGTCTACCTGTTCTTTGCGGACGTGCATGATATCATTAAGTTCATCTACACGCCTATATCTCACTCCCAGAAGATTTGCAACATAGATGATCTGCTTGAAATGGCAATGAAACGAGAACTTTGGATTGTTAGAAGAGATGCCCCTAATTCTCATCAGGGCGTATTAGCAAACCAAGCATCGGGACGTTCATATGTTCAGCCGGTGCCCAAAGCAACTTTGAGGGTCGGGAGAATCAAAAACATTATCTGCCTATGCAACACCGAATCTATGCCGCAACAAACCAACAATACTGCCTTGGGTAACCACCAGTCTAGCTCTTCCAATCTCAATCCTATCTTTTCATCACAAAATAGTGCTTCTCGGGCCAATAGGCCTTTCCAAGTCGCCAGTGCCCGCGCATACCCTACCAGCTCGAACAACATTGCTCTAGCGCAGGCCACAGCTAACAACATCACGCATAGCAAATATGAAGAGCCTGGTCTTGAGGCGCACAGTTTCATTGAAAACAACCACGAAGGACATTCGACGGTTAGTATCGTATTGACCAACCGCAGTTACCTTAGCACCATTCACAGTTATATCTGGCAAGTTACTCACGTACTAGCAGTATTAGAAGAGGCCAATGTTCAATATCTGTCTCTAATTGGGGTTAGCGACGTTCTTATCGAAGCCGAGGTTAAGGAAGATGGTAAGTTCGTGGTTGTCCTCCGTGGATCAGCCCCAGACATCAAACATATGGTCCAGATGTTCTTTTCACTCTACAAATATCACCAAATCACTCTTAAACGGTTAAAAATAGCAGTGCATAGGACAACTAACTTCTTTTTGACTGAATTCTACCGAAGAGGATCAACTCGACCAAATCCGCTATTCGCAGAGGTTTGGAATTGTCTGGGCAGAACACCTCTTGATTGCTACCAGTACATTAGAAAGATCGGCATCAACTATGCTACTCCGCTTATTGAGGATGCTTTAATCAATATAAGAGCTGAAAATGTGCCACAAGATCTCTTCCACGCAATAATCAAATTAGTCAAAGCCTATATTAAGCCCTGGGTGTACACCAACTACCAGTTAATTGGCAACCATAGCACGCAGCATCATTCAGGAAAGAAATCAGAAGAGATTTCGGCCCTTATTGGATACTTCCAGATTGATCCAATGGCCAAATTAGGCGTAACAAACTACCATATGTTGGCATACTATTTATTGCTCAAGCAATTCCCACCAAGTGACCTCACTAACCAGGATGTTGTTAAGGCCGTCCAAGATTGGGAGGGTTCTCTTGCACCCGCCAGCACATCAGCAGCACCAATTCCAGAATCTCCTATACTAAGCTTTGATCAAAGGATTATCGAAAACCTTGAAAGCGCCATTACTTTCTTCGACGATACTATTGTTCTGACTCTTACACTCAACGGACGATACAGCCCAGCTAGACTTTTGCATGCAACTACGGCCTATTCCCAGTACTTAACTTGGGTAGCTGCCACTATGACTTCGGCACAGTTGGCGGTTTGCAAAGAGAGGGCGCTGCACGAGTTTGATATTCTCATGAAGACCGGCGGGATATTCGAAGATAGACCTTTGCTCTTCCAATGCAATGACTTCTGGCGAGAGTTCGACTATAAGAGAAAGTTCGCAGATGTTCTCAACAAAATGGCTTTAGATAAAGTCCGAGAGTTTATCTTATACCATTGCATGAAACCTCTTACCGTGATACATAAGAGACCTCGGCCACTATCACTAGACCAACCCAATCCACCTCAACCTAAAACCGCCCAAAGACGAGCAGTAACTGACCCTTTAGATGACCTTGATCCTAGTTGCTCTGTTAAAAGGCTCAATCTAAACAGCTAACCCAGATAATAAACATCACTTGGCTAAATAAGCACTAGTAGTAGTCAATTTAACATACTTAACCTCTTATTGGGTTAGTATTCTATGCTTTATCTAATTGAGTTGGTGTTATAAAAATCCGCATCTTAGTTTAACCCAATTCAACTTGCTTTTTCAAAATCACTATCTTATTTATCATTTTTAAATAGCCTTATTGCATCTGGCTATCTATATTTTTATTTGTAAAAAGCATGTCACTATCTCTACTTATGAATAACTTCTTATCTCTACATGCTTAGTGTAGCTTGAGATGCTCATTAAAACCTTCTAAACTAATACCAAGTCAATACTAACTCAACGCAATACTAACTCAACGCAATACTAACCCAATAAGAGTATAGACAAAAATAGCTCGCGTTATTTATTTGTTGGCTAACGGTCTGACTTTGAAGTTGGTTCTTTTCTTAGTATCAGTTGTTCGAAACGCACCGAAGCAGCATTCGCCCAACCCACCAGCCCAATACTTTGATCTCACAATCAATAAATTGAACCCAAACTAAACCCAAACAAACCCAAACCAAACCCACCTCAACCGAACCTAATCTAACTAGATTGCGGACTGGTAGTTGCTACGTTTTGGTGCTCTGCATTCTTCATCTCTTTATCAAGTTTCTCTACCTCCGCATCTAGCTCTTCTATCAGCTCCTCTAACTCATTTAGCCCCTTTGCCTCTTTCAGCTCTTTTGCCAGCTTCTCAAACTCCTCTTCCGCGGCACCCAGTTCCTTTCTCAGTTGGGCGAGTCTCTTTTGCATTTCTAAATCTTCCGGCTCTTTTGTCTCTTTCTGTGCCTCTTCTAGCCCTTTTACCTCTTTCAGTGTCTCTTTCAGCTCTTCTAGCTCTTTTGCCAATTGCGCTACCTTTTGCCGTGTCTCTATCTGCTTGGCCCTCTTGTTTATTGATGCGTCCAGTCCCTCTATTGCTGCCGCCAATGCCTCCTCGCTCTCTTTCAGCCGCTGATTGGTCATATCCAATCTTCTCTTTGACTTTATCTGTTTTACCACATCCTCTAGCTGCTCTACGTCATCCACTTCAGTGGCCGCTGATGTACTTGATTTCGGTGATTCGGTCACATCTAGCTGCTCTAATTCATCCACTTCAGTGGCCGCTGATGTACTTGGTTTCGGTGATTCGGTCGCATCTAACTTCTCTACTTCATCCGCTTCAGTGGCCGCTGATGTACTTGATTTCGGTGATTCCGCCACATCTAGCTGCTCTTCTTCATCCACTTCAGAGGCCACTGATGTACTTGATTTCGGTGATTCCGCCACATCTAGCTGCTCTTCTTCATCCACTTCAGAGGCCACTGATGTATTTGGTTTCGGTGATTCGGTCACATCTAGCTGCTGCTTTTCTCCTTCCGTCGCTATCTGTTGCTCATTCTCCAGCTCTTCGACCTCTTCTATCTTTTCGTGCCCAGTGACTACTAACTCTTCATATTTTGGGTTAACCGTTATATTCTTGTGTTGTGATTTCTTTGGGTTTTGGGACTTTTCATACTCTTTAAAGGACTTGATGAGCTGGCTGCTATCTCGTTGAAACTTCTTGTTCTCATTGTAGCCCAAGTAATTCTGCATGGCTTTCTGAAAATGGGCTATTTCCCTCTTTTCTATCACTATCTTGTACTCATTATCCCTAGCATGTCTCAAACGAACAGCATCTTCAAAGGAAAACCGGGCATCCCAGGCCATATCTCTAAGGGTCTGTTTGTGCTTAATAAAAACGAACGTCTTCCTTTTGCTGTCATACATGTAGTTGAGGCCATAACTGTACAGCTCTCTGTTGAGTGGGTGCATGCCGTTGACGAGAGGGGCTTGGTATAAATTGCGGCCTTGGGTTAGTGTTCGACTGACCTGGCTATAAATAACAGCAGGCGTGGTTGGTGTTTGGTTGTCAGAGGATTCGCTTTCGACTGGTTTCTTAGGGCCCATTACTGCCCTTTCAAGCTCATCAACTTCGTCCGGAGTAAACACCTTTTGATGAATCCACCGAGCGAGAATATCAGCCAATTCCATGTGCTCTGGCAGAACAGTTGTTTGGGTTATTTGCTTAGCATAGGGCTTCTCGTTTAGAGTGACGTATAACGCAATCAAATTGGGAATATCCTTAGTAATACTAAGCTGTAAAAATAGAGAATTACTATTGGGCTTAGACAGCTCAACCAGCAGAGCTGCGGTCTGTTTAACTAAATCTAAGTCATTGGGTGAAAAGAGGAGTTCATCATAAAAGCCAGATCTCAGAAACTTGGCTTTGACTGCTTTATCTTTGATAGATTTCAATGGGGTCCCGATACTCTTCTTCTTCCAAAACATCCAGGATTTACTGGATGGGCACCACAGTATTCTCTTTGGCCCGTCAGTTAAGAACCGGATGTGGCCATTGTTATACTCTTTTAGCATCTTTTGGGCCCAAACAAAGTTGAGTTTGGCTAGATCTTCCAAAGTCGGTGGAGTCCTGTTGAGTCTCTCTGATTCGCCTCCTGTGGCAGTTACTAAATTGCTGATCATGAACAGGCAAAGGCTAATCGCCAATACTAATTCAAATCCAATTCGTCTTTTTTGATTATGCATTTGTGATCTCAAATTTAGCTATAGTTTATAGTTATAAATTTCCATATTGGGAAATAAACTTTATTTTAATTGACCGGTTAACTACTCCTGAATTCAATCTAAATAGTCCGATTAATTGCAAACACGTGTTGCGTTTATTTATACCCCGTTGTCGTAGTACAACACAGCCTAACACAATACTAACACAATACTAACCCACCCCTAGAAGAATCCCACACCACTCTTAACTCATGCATTTCAAGAAGATCTTGAGTTTGTTGTTTTGCAACATCAAGATAAGTCAGCAACTGTTTGCCAAAGATATTCGAGCTTGAATGCATTTCCGAGGGGGGAATATTAGACATAATTGCTTGTCTTATTTCCTCTGTATAGATGCGATAGGAGTAGAGGCTCTTGTGATGGGCTACAAGAGCGTATTTCATAATGGCGTCGATAGAGTTGATTTGGTTCAAATGGATTTGGTATAAATATAGTCCAGCATCACTGATCACGAACTCCTTAGGCCTCTTTTCCAAATGGCGTGCGATTGTTTCACTCTGTAGGATCAGCTGGGTTAGCTTGTTTTGGACCGCAGCCTCTTTGGTCTTCAAAAACGCACGGAATGCGCTCGTTTGGTCAATGTCACTAACTAACACCCGCGGTTTAGAGTCCATCTTTATCGAAAGCTTCATAAGTAGGCATAATTGGTTGAGCCGGCCAAAGCATGCACCCAAGCTGTCTACATCGGCTGTTCCCGATGTACCCTCGTGTGTCCCTCTGACCATCGTTATCTCGACATTTTCAACCCATCCGTCATTTAGTTCAATGTCTACTATCAGTGCATTCTCATGGCCATCCTCAATAGACAGATAGAAATATTGCAAGAAACGCATGGGACTTATCCGTTCAAAGGCCTGCAGAAACGTTGTTTGCCATTGACTGACATATACCACAAGGTACTTGAGGTCCGCAACAAGACCCGCATCAATCGAATCAATTTGGGCATACGGCATATCCAGCGTCAGGCATTGCAATGGCAAACCATCAACGGAACCCGACCCAATACTAACTCCTTCCAATGCAATTCTCTTTACTTTCTCATCATGAATTATTATGCCAAGAGTGTGTGTTTTCTGGTGCAGCACTCCAGAGAGATGAGCAAGGCTTATACAATCTTCCTTGCTATCCTCAATAAACCAATAAACTGCGCTGAACTTCTCTCGATTTTGGCCAAGTATCTTTTGGGTTAACAGCGGAGTCTCCTTGTCACTGTCTGGGTTGGTAGTGGGTGAATTTATAATCACCAGATACGATTGGATGATCTGCACACTAGCTAGTACAAGCAATTCTTTGCATTCGTCTGGAGTTGGACTGGTCAGACTCACTTGGTCAGACCACTCGATTATCATTCCAATTGGAACAGTATCGACTTTGGTTTTGGTTATTTCCAAATCGATCTTCTTCTGAATATTTTCTATCTCGGACTCTCCAATCCTACTCCTCTCAAGCCGCAGATAAATCAAGGACGAACCTCTAATCTTCCCTGAGCCACTGGCAGGCGAACTTGCAGCATCCGGCAGTCCCATGTCCACTTGGAATATATAAGCTTTCTTATTGTCGCCGTTTATAGCCTGATCCTGCTCATTGTATTGGGAGGTGTTGATACAAACTCTATCTTCCTCCATCTCTTTCTTCTTCAGGCAGATGCAAACCAATCCCCAGCACCCTAGCAATAGTCGCGATAAAACACCACAGCCCATCTTATCTCTTTGTAAAAGTAATTTGGCCTTTTTATAGAGACAACGATCAATATGCAACTATGATATGCTGTGCTGGCTTGAACCAGCTGGTATAAGTATCCCATTTGTTTTAATTAAGTTACTCACGAGAAGATCCTTTCCTCTTGATTTGGGCCACTTTACTAATCCAGTACTAAGTCGCTCGTAGATGCCGATATATATCTTTAAATTACTTCTATACCCTCTCAATCCTAATCGAATACTAAACCCAATATTTTTTGTTTATTGATATCTAGTCCATTGCTAGCTTCTATCTTTCTTAGAGTTCGGTTAGTGTGGTATTAGTATTGGATTGGATTGGATTGGTGTGGGCTAATTTGTTCTAAATAATATCTTTAACAAATCACGTGTCAAATTGGCTAGCGATGAGGAGTTGCCGGCTAATAAATCGTAGCTAATAGCTGCCCAGGTTGTAAGTCCAAGCGTGCTAACCATAACTGCGAAAATAATCGTCAATTCTAGTAGTCTTCTTGGCACTTCTTGATCATGCTCTTTTTGAGTATGCTCTTCTCGATCCTTGTCGAACCAACGGCCGAAGACCTGCATAAGAATACCGGTACTAAAGACAATAGCCGAGACAATTAGAATATGAGATTTTAAAAGAACGCGAGCCTGTTCGGTAAGCCCAAGAAGCAAAAGGAACGGCACAATAGCAGCCAATCCGATCGCTAGAGCAAAAAGCACCCAGTTGACTCGCCGAGTTAGTTTGGAGTAGTGCTGGTTAAACCGCCAGCGAACAACAAAGCAAGCAATAACGGCAAGTATGGCCATGGCTTGGTATACTAAAACCATAACTTTGAGCACAGTCGACGTGCTGCTACTAGACCAACTGTCGATCTGCAGCCCAAAAATGGCGATGAGACTAATGACTATTACACCCAACATAAACCCAATACTCAGCCACTCCCAGAGAGACAACGGCTTACTTGGTGAAGAATTGATATAGCAGGTTAGTATAACGGCTCCTATCAGTCCAAGGGCTATTATATTGAAAGGAAATATGTAGACAAGTGCAGCAGTCGAGGGCATAAACATAAAGCTAAGCAACATTACTATAGATTCAGCAATAGCTATAACTATCCCGCTTGAAACAATAGCGTAGATTTGGCGTCTTTCCCACGGTTGGTCGGTCTTGGGGGCATTAGAGTTGGATTTATCTTTTGACTTCTTTATCTTAGGCTCAAGGCTCTTTGCTGTTGAGTACTCGTCAAATGTTTTGATGTTTAGGTTGCTGATATGTTTGAACTGGGTTGGGTTGGTAGTGGGTGGCTGGTGATAATGAACTATTCCCATAAAAACATTAAAGTCTTCATCGCTCGCCACTATGCTATATTTGTTGTCTGTGGCGTGCTTTAAACGAGTTGCGGATTCCAAAGTAAACCGGGCGACCAGATTTTGTCCAGATTTGGAAAAATCAAACATGTTCATATATCTATTATTGTGCGGGACCACAACGAATAGCTTCTTACTATGGTCGTACAAGTAATTAAGTTTGTGCATATACACATCAACGTTGAGTGGGTGGATGTAGCCCATCAATGGACTTTTCCATAGCATGTAGAAATTATCTTTAGAATGAATAAGGCTGGGATAATAGAAGACCGGATCGTTTTGGCTGGATGCTGGTGATTCTGTGGCCGCTCTATTTGCCCCCTTTATCTTTAAGTTCTTATTCTCAAGATTGTCGATGAAATCGGCACAGTGTTTATGGCGATGTATCCAAGTTGCAAGATTAGTAATAAAGCATGCTTGTTCTCGATCTTGGTCAATGGCCGTCTGAGTTATTCCAGTGGCATTGGGCTGTTCATTTAAAACAGCATATAGAATCAGCATAGACTGTATGTCGGGTTGTATAATAGCATTTCCTAGCTTGAAGGCTTCTTCGTCTTTAAATAACGATATCAAACAGTCAATTGTGTAGTTAAGATTTGCTCGATTCTGGCCCTCATCAAGGTCTATGAATCCGAGGCGGTCACAATAATCATGGCCGATAGATTTAGTACTTTGGCCGTGATTGTCGTTATACTCCTTTAGTATCGCTATAGCCCAGGGAAACTTGAGCTCAGCCAATCGCTCTAATCTAGTTTGTGCTTTCGCTGACTGATGATGGAATGGAGCTCTTGATGCAGCTACTAGTCCGTTTAAAACCAATAAGCATAGCCCAACTACCAAGCAAGTCTTGATGAAATCAATTCTTCGCTTCTGATTGAACATTTACGATCCAAAAAAACAGTTAATTTTATAGTCGAAATTTACCATATTAGGACATTGCCATATTAGGACATTGCTAAAAACTGCCAAGCTCGAACTTTTATCAATTTGACCAAAGTAACCCAATAATATTAACCCAATACTAGCCCCTTAATCAATAAATTGAATCCAGTGCTAATCGGTTAGTATTTTGTTAGTATGATGTGTTATATGATATAATTTTGATTTTTGATTAGAACCAATTGCTTATCTCGCAATTAAATTCACATTCCACTAGCATCGTATTCTATTGGCTATCTCAATTTACTCTAACCCAATACTAACCCTATTCTATCATATCTCAACTCAATACTAACTCAACTCAACATAATACTAACTCAATTTAAACCGAAAACTAAACTAAACTAAACGCAATCCAAACTCGATTCAATTTCGTTTTTGGTTTGCTTTAAACTCTCATAACCCAAGCCTTTATTTAACAATTGGACTGGATATATATCAACCAAGAAACACGAATATCAACTAAGAAACACGAATATCAACTAAGAAACACGACCAAACTGTTTATTCATGCATACATGGACAATAAAAGACACGCAAAGCAAATGCCTTACAAACTGCCATCACACCAGAGGCACAGAAGGAATTAAACCAAACCAAACCAAACTCAATAAGACTTCACTTCGTTCTAGTCCAAAGCCGCTATATCCAACACTAACTCGATCTGCAGTTTATTGTTATGACTTGATTATAGAGATGCGTTGTTGTATGTTCCCAACCGACTATTCCCAAGTGTAAAGCGGCCGGGATAAAGTTACCTAATAAGGAAAATTCCCTGTCTATAAATAGACCTGAGAATTAACAAATACGAAAGTTTAGGCGGCGGACCATATAAAACAACTTGTGTGATGTATAAATTAGTTGTCGAATAAGCAAAAACTATATCTCTCCAAATCAAAATTAGATTAGGTTGGATTGCTGATCTAAAGTGTTGTTTTCAGATGGTGTCAAGAGATCTTGCAATTGTGTTTTATAGTTTTGCAGTTGTGTTTTATACGCGCCTAAAACAATCATACCGCCGCCCGTTGCACTTTGAAGCATAAGAGTATAAGCAACAGTGGCCGCTAGAGAGGCCAGAGAGATGGTTTCGGTAAGAAGAGGCAAAGCTGCATAATCATTCGAGCTTGTATACAGTTGCTTACAGAGTCGGCCGACGTTAAAGACTTTTTGGAAACTGTATTCAAGAATATCCCAAGGCAGCTTTAAAGAAGAGAAGCGGTTAATAAAAGACTCTACTACCACAACCATAACTGCTTCGGCATCAGATAAATCTTGCCGTTGTTGCTCATAGCCAGCCACTGCGGGCAAGGTTCTGTTCGGATCATAAAAATCATCGAGAAAGGCGGTAAAACACACCGTCAGTCGCATAATACAGTACACTAGCATGTCGGCTTTATCGATATGGCATCTCAAACCGCGATTGTTGTATATTTCTTCATTTTTCGACCAGTCAACATTGCTATTGATGAGTCGCGAGGTAAAGTCTTCCTGGCCAACTGAGGCACTCTCTACAATCTGGCCCTTAACAAACCTGATGGCTGTTATTAGGCGCACAAGCTGTGAGCAAATTATACGATCGCAGAAGTTAGGGTTAGTATTGGGATTGTTATTAGATAGAGGCAAAACCTGTATCATATGAATATGCCAATCCTTTAACATCAGACGGACCATGACCATGTTGGCTGGATCATTTGTGCTATCATCAAGATTGATAACAACTTCCAACATCCTCAAAAACACCGACTGCTTATTCAAGCCAACAGCATTATATAGCCCGTCTGCCCAGCTCAATGTTCTCAGCTCAATGGTATGAACAACCAATTGACTAGATAAAGAAAGCTCATTTAACTTAGCATGTGGCATATAAAGAGTCAGCCGCTCCAACGTACGCCAGTACCTAGCGCCGTCCTGTCGTGGGAGAAAAGGTAATGTCAGGCACACCGTTTGAACATTTATGTTTTCTATCACAATACTAAAAACCCGAATATACTTCTTCTGTATCATCATACCGAGCGCAGAAAGTTCGATGTCCTGGCAGTTATTCGTACAGACAATCGTTTCGATTAATATAAACACTCCCCAGATTGGGTTACATTTACCCCCCATCATATTTTGGTAAAACTTCGCTTTATCATCAAACTCACGACAGTTGTCAGTATAGAACCGCGGGCTTATCAACAGAGCAAAAGATCGGTCTAAATCAACTCGGGCCTTGGCCAGCTGTTGGTTATACCATTTTATATCCAAATACTCATACGACGGCTGATCTTTTATCCTCTCATTACACCACTCAAACAGAAAATGAATTGTTCTGGTTTGGTATGTGGTTGTGATCTCGTTTATTTGCTTAATAAATTCGCGGTGGATGGAATGAGATGGGCGCGACAAATCGCCCTTTACCAGCACCCGGATCAGATAGCAGTCCTTGACCTCAACTTTGTCAGCCAATCGGTGCGATACCTTTATTTCAGCAACACAAATTTGATAAGTTCCCATGGGGTGGGTGTACCGGAAGCATTCAGGCGCGATCCAAATGCACTCTATGGCCACACGCGGCATTGGTGACCAAGATTGGGTTGATCTTTGAAGTGCTCCTTCAACAATTGGGAGTAGTTGACAAGCTTCCCAGTCTCTTCTCAACTCGTCTTGGGCTATAGTAGCATACCCAGTTGACACCTGCTCACTTTCATCAGGCTCTGACTGGGTTGGGTTTTCCACTGATCCGTTCACCAGCTCGTCTTGATTGAAACACCACGTGGCTCCGACCAACATCAACACACCAATAAACCATATATACCTATCTAACAACTTGTTTCTTATCTGGACTATCATTAAATAAAAGTTATTGTCAATTGAATTATTTGTACAGATTGAGTTGATAAGTTAACTTACAACACCAACCCAACCTAACCCAATGCCACCGCACAATCAATAAATCAAACCCAACCCAACCCATCCCAACCCATCCCAATACCAACACAATCCAACCCAACACAAACTAAATCAAACACTAACAGCACCTTCTCAACTGAATACAAAATGATTTCAATCCAAAGATCCAATCACTGCAACAATATATATAAATACTCAGCAAGCCATAACCCGACACCAACCATGAACATTATTAAACTTGTAGCTCAGATTATTGCACCGTTTGTTACCGTTATGAACGTCACAACTCCAAACCACCAGCAAGGACTCACTTCAGACAACATCAAGGACTTATCCCACCCGCAACATCTATCCGCCAGCCAGATAGGCATAGCTTCGACACTAGCAGATACCAACTCACCCCTTCTGCAAGCCAATCCACTCAGCAGCGAGACTCCGCTCCCCGCCCAGCCAGCGCTTCTATCTTCTGCTTCAGAACAGGCAGTCCTTAGTATCAATCGCTACATCGCTCAGCATTTGCAAACCAAGCAACAGGACATTCTCAAAACACAAAAGGCCGTTGCCGCTCTTTCAAACCAACTTCACAACTTTATTGCTCAATATATAACCCAAACCCAAGTGCTAGACAACAGCCTTTTTTCTCCAATAGAAAACTACCTCACCGAATATCTAGAGACTGTCATCAGCCCATGGGCCAGCGAACAAACCAAAAAATACAACCAGGCTTTAGAAACCGCAGCCGCAATAGAAACCCAGCAAACAATTAGTACTTTGGCAACCCTTCTTTCCCACACCAACTCTTTCACTTCAAGCCAGCAGACCCAATTGTCATCTATTCTCCTCAAGATTGCGACCGTCTTACAAAACATCCACACCTTCAACCTCGCCCAACCAACTCTCTTCTACAATCCCTTCCCAGACCCTCATTCCGCCACGGCCCAGTCCGTTCTGAGTCGCACGACCCAGCTGCGCAGTCTTGATCTCTCCTCCGATCTACTTAAGAACCACGGCCAGGGACTTATCTACATCCTTGCCACCAAGCAAATTACTACACTAACCACCCTCTATTACAATACCCTCAACAGACATATTGCCCGGATCAAGAAACCAGCTCTGGACACGATCAACCAAATCCACTCCCTTCGTGACCACCAAGACCCAAAGGCTAACTCAATAATCAAAGAACAGTTACTTCAAATAGCTCACGGCCTTGTCCAGGAAGAACAAAATCTACAGCTCACCAACAAAAAGCTCATCCAATACATCGCAGCCTTCAACTCAAACGACATTCTTGCCACCAGTCTTTCCAGCCACCCCAGATCCGCCCGCCAACCCCGTGCAGCTGATCCCCCTTCCAACCCCTCTGCTTCTTCAACGATCACAAGTAACATCAATAAACTTCTCCAGGAGATTCTAAAGATTGAATCACCTGAGGAAAGGTCCAAACACTTCATGCTCTTGCAGACTCTTATCAGGGATAGTAATCAAGCCCTCAAACAAAAGGCCACCCTCACGTGCAATAATACATCGCCGACCTCAGCCCCCAAAACCGCTATACCCCAAGACCGCAACAACTTTTCACCCTATGTCTACAACACTACCATTGGCTACATCAAGCAGCTCCTCACCAACCACCAAGAACAGCACAAAAAGCTCGTTGAACAGAATGTGCAACTCCAGGCCATCCAAAGAAACCTTAACAGCACTATTGAGAGCACAAAAGATGATGTCCAGATTCACCAAACTCTACTCCAGCAGAAGAAGGCCATTAACAAGCAGAAAGCCATTCAAAACGAACACACCCAGCACACCGCAGATCTACATGCCCATGCTGCTCAGGCTCAAAACGACATAACCCAGCAAACGGCCCAACTTCAAGATGCAGACAAACAGAACAAAGAGCTAAACTCTGTTACTGCAAAAGCTATTGCCGATTTACACAAAGCCAATGATGAGCTGAAAAGCCTTACTGCTAACCTCACCAATGTTCAAGACCAGATTAAAGCCAACAACAACGAGCAAATAGCCATTCAGCAGGACTTGCTAACCCTAAACTCAACATTAAAAAGGCAGGTAGACGATCTCAACGCTCTCCACAACACCTACCATCTTCTTAACGCCACCATCGAAGGTTATCTGCCCGTCCTCAACAGCACTGCTGCTTCTCCTTTGGTGCTCACCACAATTCTCCACGATTACTCAGCTAACCCCAGCCAGTTATCCAAGCAATTCCAAAACTTCATCCAAAACCCGCAAAGCAACCTAAATCCAACAGTCGATGAATTGTACCAACTCTACAACAACTACCTCGAAGCCGCCAAGAACAACGACCAAACCAAACAAGATCTAGATAAAGAAACCACCAAGTTCCATAACTGCTCTGCCGCCGCCGACGAAATCGCCGCCCAAGTAAAGCACCAAACCGACCTCAATGCTCAAGCTGCCAAGGAATACCAAAACATCGACACCGTCACCACCAAACAAATCTGCCAGCAAGCCGAAGAAGATGAAGCAGCTCTAGGACAGCAAGCCGACTCCCAAATCCACGACATTACCCAACAAACCGACATCATCAACAATGCGGTTGACTCTATACGCGACAACCTTCAAAATACATACTCTGCGATCAGCACTAAGTACAAACGCCAACAACTCAATGCCACTGACTTTGCACTAGACATGCCCAGCTTTTCGCATCCCAGCCCCACCACGCTGCAAGATCCTCAAGCCGCCCAGGCCTTTTTCCAAGCTAATCTTTCTCCCAACAAAACACCCATCCAGAGCCGTAATGACACCGTACCAAACCTTGCCAACGTGGTACCCAACCTAGCCGCCAATATTCATCGTGTCCTGGCAGAAGCCACAAACCAGACAAACCGGCTAACAATTCTCCAAAAGAAGGTCGACGCCAAAGTTCTTGAGTATAACAGCGATACTGCCAAATGCAAAGCTTACGCCCAAGAGGTAGCGCAAGGCAATAGTCAACCAGGCCCGCCCGGCAATATCACCAAAATCTTCGTAGGATCGCAATACACAGGCGAGGACTCTAATACGAACGACGACTTCATATCCCGCCAGAAGTTTGACGAGACCCACTAGCCGACACCATTCCTAACTTTCCCAGAAAATGAACCCCTCCCAACCCCAACCCCNTGTATATTAGCCGTTACTGCACACCACCCGCATCAAATTCAATCAATCAATCAATCAACCCAACCCAATCCTAAACCATACTAAACCATACTAACCCAAATCATACTAAACCAAACTTGTTTATTTCATAATAGCGCATGCCTCGGTATCGGATTGGGCTGCTAGTATCTTGGAGTAAGCATTCGGACCATCAATCAACCAACCTAAGCAGGGCTGCTCATCCATGAACAGACTCAACTCTTGCCACACCATAATATTGAAGAAGTGAGCGTTATCATCAAGATATCTCCTAATTATCCTAGTCAGGTCTGAGATCTCTATTTTGTATAGATGCATGGCTTGCTCCTGGGTTTGCTTCAGAGATTGCTTCAGGGATTGGGAGCGATGAAGGGGGCCATAATAAGTGACGGGCGGGCGGGACCGAGCATTGCCAAGCCCGTTGAGACTCGAAACACTTGAATTCAAACTCGACGAGCTCAAAGAACGCATACAGGAGCTGCTGAAACCTTCTTTTGTTTGTGCATCTAAACCGCTCTCTGTGCTGGAACTTCTCATAGTTTGTTTCAACTTTCGAATACTCTGCACCAGATCTGGGTAATAATCAAAAAGCAAAAAGAGCTTCAGAGCACGTACATCATCTTTGGCTGTGGGGCGCTCGGCTTGGGTAAGCGAAAGAAAGACATCTTTTGTCTGATAAGCCCGCTTCACCACCCTCTCGATCTCGTGTTGTTTCAAAGAGCATAAATAATCCATTGACCGGTTAGTACAAACACCATTGTTGGTATAAAAAAGCCCGTAGACACGGGATAGGGCTCTGTTGTTGCGCAGACGCTTCAACTGTATGCTGTTCTCCACCGTTTGCATAATACCCTTGGCCACTATATTCTTTAAAGATGCGGCGGTGTCCTTTAATAACACACCCTCTACCATGGCCTGCTCAATCTTTAGATAAAACAACCTAGCAAAGTTGTGGATCAAATGAAGAGTAATATCTGAGTTGGACAGAAATAAAAGGTTAACCCCCAGCTTATCTAGAGCTTTGGCAATCACACTGTTTTTGCGAATCTTAAATTGGTCAGATAAGCTTTTAGCGGGTGCATTAATAGGGGTGGCCGTTAGGGTTGTTGTTTTTATCTGAACGCAGCAGAGCGCGGCTAGGATAACAGCCCATTCTTCTGGCGTTGATGGTATGGCTGTTGCGGGCCATTTAATCGCACAAGTCAGTTGGTGGCCCAGCGCATCCGCGCCGCTCAAAACAATAGAATTGTCCGGGGTTGGCGTGTTCCTTATGGTACTTGCGCCCAGCCTCATCAGAAAGTCCTCGATAAACGTTTTCGGGTCTTTGTGGACTGGATATGTAAAACCCGGGTTGTTAAAGCACGCATCACACGGTTTATCATATGGCTGTTGTATTGGCGTGGCCGTAAACCGGATTGGAGTCGGATCAATTGGGTGGGGTTGAGACGCGTTCGGGTCTGGGTTGAAAGAAAACCGATCCGATAGTATTCTGGTTCCTTGGCTAGCCTCAAGCAGCTTTTGAATCAGGACCTTGTACGTCAAAAAGATGCTGGCTGATTGCGTCTCGAAAATGCTAAGATGTTTGTTTAGGAATTGAGATAGGGGCAGAATTGTTTTGTCAGGAGAATATGTGGATGGAGATTCGGTAATAATGCATTGAAGCGTTTGATCTAAGAAAGACATTTCGTCCTTAATACTTTTGCCATACTCATTAGCTAGTCGACATAGAGTGACGGCCTCCAAAACTAGCAGTTCGTCTCGCGACAATGGAGGGTCTTGCTTCTGCTCAGAAGTGCGTGAAAGAGAACCCCAGCCATCTTCCAACTCACACGGGTCAGCGTTCCAGAGACATTCGATGCGCTGGTGCAGCTTACTTCCATTTAGGTTAGTATTGTGAGTTGAGTTAGTATTGGGTGACACCCCGGTGTTATCTTTCAGCTCAATATTTTCAAAAATAGATTGCTCAAGAATGGGCGTTGTCTCTACGTATGTGCCGATGAGGCTTTCTGCTTGTTCATAGAAGTCCTGATTCTTCATTGCAGTTTGCTGCGGAGCATCCCAAAGTGTCTTGAGGTTTTTAGCGATCTCGGTCATGGCAGAACTGGGATCTGATTTAGTAGTAATCTTATTAGATAGAGCTTTACTGCAGCCTAAACAGCGGTAGCTGAGAAGACTGAATTTTGGTGGCAATATTCTAGTTTTGCTATCATTACTCACGTTAGAATGGATCTCTTCGCTACAAAGACCTTCTTCTTCTTGCTCATCTGGGGTTGGTAGAGGGTTAGTATTGGGACAAGACTCGTCTATACTATCTTCATTTGTTTTGCATTGCGGGCTGCTGGAAGACACTGTCGTTGGGAAAGCACATTCAACGACCTCAACTACAGTCTGGCACTGAATGTTTGGGTTATAAGTCTGACTTCTTCTGCAGAGTATATAAATAAGGCCTAATGTCATGCCAAGGCACAAAAAGCTCACAGTCGTAACAGTTAGTGTTTTTCCTTTCATGTTTTTACCAATTTTGGCTATCTTTATAACACATTTAATCAGTAATTTTTGAATAAATCATTTCAATTTTTCACATTACTGATAATTAATAGAAGATTAACTTATTCTAAAATTATGCTGTTTAGACTGGAATGATAAGAATTCTTGGCCTAACCAGCAATGACAGCTTAAAGTCATCTAACAATAAACACGGCCGCTCCAATATCAATTTGATTTAATTTCACTCAACTTAGTTTAACGTAACTCAACTCCAAATCACACTACACTACACCACACCACTTAACCAAACTCAATACTAAGCACACCACACCACTTAACCCAACTCAATACTAAGCACACCACGCCACTTAACCCAACTCAATACTAACTAAATACTAACTAAATACTAACTCAATCTGTATAGCTAATTTATTGACTGATACAATTTGTTCATGTGGTAGATGTACTTATGGAGGCCTTTCTTTGGGGGTGAACCAGAGGCGCATTTGCCCGAAAAACATCAACCGTCTCTACACTTCCTTTTCGACGGCAGCGGACTTCAATGCTCTGCAAAGGCAGATGAAGAGTCTCTAATTCATTCAGCTGTGTTTGGACAGTTTGAAGATCTTCATCACTAACAGCGCTCGAGGTAGATAGCACCAATTTGCCCGCCTGAGAAAAGAGCTGAACACTGCTGACAATGCTTTTAATAAGTTGCTGGGCTGTACGAGAAGTGTTGTTACCATTGAATATAGACTTCCAGACCGGATGCTGAACAAGTGCTTGGTCTTGCGACGTGGCGCTGCCTTTTTCAGATAACTCTGCCAGTGATGCAACTTCTAGAGCTATAGTTGAGGCCCGGTCAATGGCCTGCTGCAGCTCTCGAGTTTTCTGGTGAGCATGGTAGTCCCGGAGAGATAAAACTAGCGGCATGTCCTTGGTGTAAAGGGGTTTTAACTCAGGCCGGATTGGGCTAGTATTTGGGCCTGAAGAGTGGGCGTGTCCATAGCTTATGTACAACTTGCGAACTATTTGTCGAGCGATTAAACTTGACTCAATCTTTCCTAGCTGGCAGTCGATCGCCCAAAGCTCTTTAATCCGGTTTTGCGGCAACAAGTTGACTGCTTGGGTGAGAGTGGCTAAACTGGTAAAGCGGCAGTTTTGAAGTTCCACTACAACGCCTTTGTGGAAGACATAAACCTTCAAAATGTAGCAGACTATGGCTTCGTCAACGTTTGCTAGAGTTAAGTGCCGTAAAGTAGTCACCCGCTTAAAGAGAAGGTTGTCGTCGAGCGGCTGCTGTGCGTAGTTCTTTTTAAAGCGCTTCATCCAGTCGAATGTTGACGTAGCCGTTGTTTGGGGCTTTTTTGGCGCATGGAAGCATACATCTTTAATGGTTAGTCGATCGGCTTGAAGATTGCCGAAGTTTTGGAGTAGTAGGAAGAGAGCAAGGCCCTCTTGCGCTTTCACCTTGGCGTCTAATGTTGTGGCAGTGCCTTGGATAGTTAGCTCTTGATAGTGAATACAGCTACACCAGATGGCAACGTGGCTATGTAGTTGCTTGAAGTAATTGGGATCGCGAATAAATATACTAAGATCGATGGTTTTGGGCTGGGCTACCTCTTGCTTTTCCTTTCGAATCGGGTGCTGCTTGATGCATTCGACTGGGAAGTCTGTTTCCACCATAGCTTCGGCGGGCGTAGAAATACTATACAGAAATGCTAGAGTTGTAAGAAGACGGTTATTGGGATGAACAGTGGGCGCGTAGAAAATACTATAGTTCTGGATAGACGGCATATATGCCTTGAGGCCAATAAAGGCAGCCCGAACACAGTCGCTGTGCAAACAAGGAGTTTCAGAGGGTAGAGAGACGTATAGCACATCCACGGTAATTGGGTTAGAACGCGGTCGCGACGGATCCTGGGTTTGTTTGTACCGCCTGTATGTGTCCTTGATTTGGGTCAGTAGTTGAGGCTTCCGGGGATTGAGATAGAGGTGGCGAATTTTCAAAGGCACTTGACAGGTCATCTCACAAAGTCGCGTAAAGGCCTCCCAATCAAGATCTATATCAAGCAAACTGTCGTTAGAGCGCTGCCAGGTTCGAGTTGAGGTAGTGGCGGGTTGGAAGGGCAGAGAAACTAACCTAACATTCGGAGGAAGGTATGAAAGAACACAACTGATGGTGTCGGCAAAAAGAAGGCGTAAAAGATTCAAGTCAATAGTTAGTGGGCCCATAGAACTTTGGCATTTGATAATCGACAAAGAGAAGTGGTCAAGCAACTCTATCCCTAGCAACCAGCTGAAGTCCTGAAGGTCGCAGTGCTTCGTATAAATACTCGTCACAGGACAACGGGCCCAACTCTTGGCAATAGTCTCAGCAACTGCTTGGTTGCAGCCATTCAGGACTATATCAACCGAGGCGATGGTCAGCCAGCCCTGCTGAGGGTCTGGCTCGGCTGCTGCCGCCGCAATCTCCTGCGGACTATACTTGATGTTATATACCATCAACAGATTACTTGTGATAGTAGCTAGGAGGTTTTTTAAAAACACAACTGAAATTCTATTGGTTTGGTTAAGATTGGGTGGTTGTTGAGCTGCCCCAAATATCACTAACCCGTGGCAGGTTAGTCCCTTTAGCAAACTAAGCTTTACTAACAAGGAGTTCCATACAATGTCGTTCGTGGTCCCATTCACTATGATTATCTTTGTGGCCAGCTCCTGTTTGTACTCCTCTCTTGTGGCACTATTGTCATTGCCATCGTCCGTGGGAATGTTATCTAATGCCTTATCAAGTGGCACATGGTTCATATCTTTAATTCGGGCTCGCAAGGCCGTTATGTGTTCCTGGGAGCTAGAGGTCTGGGTGGCTGTTGAGCGACTAGAACTTGCTAATGAGCCTTTTCGTACTGGCTGTTTAGTCGATCGTCGGCCGCCAGCGTCGATAAAAGAAAACAACCCAACGACAAGCACCAATCCGACTCCACAGAGCTGTTTAAAGAATAGAGATTTTGGGTGGCCACTAAGTACTTGGTCTAGGCTAGCTTTAACCGCTTTAGTGTGCATAGATTAGTACGACGAGTTATCAAAATCTCATTTAACCGCAAGCAAATGATTGGGTTAGTATTGGGTTAGTATTATTGGGTTATAAATCGGCCAATTGTTGTTTATTAGGCAGCTGTTTTTGATAAGAGATAATGTAGGTTAGATAGATGCTGCCTTAATTAGAGAGGGCCAAATCAAGAGGGTTTAGCTCTTTTTAAAGGCGTGTTGTTCGAAGTGGTGTCGTTGGATGACTGTCTTCTTGGATGGCTCTGTATAACGGAAGGTCTGGCAGCTGTAGAGCTTGCCTGAATATTATTGGAGTCCATCTGGTAAGTAGCATCGGCATCTACATCCTTATCTAATAAAGTGATAGGGCAAGCAACAAATGGTTCTTGATGGAAGTTAAACGGATTATGAGTAATGAACTGACAGAGCTCAGCAAGCGTGACACAACGGCCTAGCTCGTGCAGTTGTTCAACAAACAAAGGATCATTCCAATAGTGCTCCCAATGCCTGATGAGTTGGATCGGAGTTTGAAGCTTACTTAGTTCCAAGAACGGGGCATTAAATAGAATATCCCGTTTATACGCTTCGAACTGTTGAACTGTTAATGTTTTAAGAATGGCAAGCGCATTGTTGCACAGCGACTTGGTTATGCTACTGAGTCTGTTCTGTGCAGACTTGTTCTTTTTATCACTGATAAAACCGAAAAGAATCGTTTGATTGACTACATCGGCATCAAACTTTATACTCTGAACATCTGGGCAGTTCGAGGTAGCAGTTAAATGCTCAAGTAGATGAACCAGCAGCTTAGTAAGGAAAAACTGCCGAAAGAGCTGTTCGCCAGTAGGAGAACACGACCACACTTGGCACCAGGCCGCGGTGTTTGGGGAGACATCAGCCGGCTTACCGCTATCTTGTGTCTGAATAGCAGCGGCTGGCTCAGCTAGGCTCGTTTTCAGAACCTCTTCAACGGCGGGATTTAACTTGGTATTATAAACAAGTATTTGTATTCGACAGGGTTGGATAAGACGTGGCTGGAGATAATTTATAGTGGCCAGATGGTCCAGACACAACTGGGGCGAAATGGCCTCTCGTCGGGTTCGCTGGAGCATTGTGAAGGAACGCAGTGAGCTGGTAGAGGTTATAAATTCTTTGGTGAAGTATAGAGTAGCCGCTTTCTTTGTGTCTATTAAACTAACTTTATCAGCGATTGGAGTTTTTGCTGCCATTTTAAAGTACTGCATAAAGAAGGTGTACATGCCCTCATTGACAAAATCCCGGGGACCGTAGAACGCAATAATGATTTGGCGTGCCTCGTTGATCTTCAGATCAACACGAGCAATTAACCGGCTAGATCGGCATTTATCAAGATAAGCTAATAAATATCCAACAATTTCAATGTACTCAGTTATACCTAGGGTGGGCGAAAGATCAAACTCTACAGATATACTACTATTAATTGGCGCGGACCCTAAAAAAGTGACTGCTTTCACTACAAGCTTACCCGATGGTAGATTAGTGCGGGCAGTTACGGTCTGAACGTGCCGTGATTGAAACTCCGTTTGTTGTATTAACTCAATGAGAATTGCACGGGCTGATTCGGTCTTGTTGGATACTAATAACGGACTAACCAGCCCAATAGAGCTAGCAAGCGAGTGTATCGGAGATGTGCGAAACGTATAGCACACATTATGAGTATAATCGATCCAATCGGCATTCATATGAACAAAGTCGTCTTGGAAGTAGCGCACCCAATGACTTGTCTGAGCCAAAGCCTTCAATACAGTGATAACGTCTGCGTGGGTTACTTGAGTTAACGGTGAGGCTTCCGACGGCTTTCCTTTCAAACTAATCTTATCAATTTCGAAAATCTGTTCTTCATAAGAGAGATATCTTGGTGGCCTACTTTGGCTTCTTAATCGCATCTCACGGATAATTGTGTTAATTCTTGCTTGGTCTAAGAAAGACTGCAGATCATCCAAATACGATTTTAGCAGATTGCTTATTGTTAGAACATCTGTCTGAGTGCAGACCTGCAAGTAGAATTCCATGCTTATATAAGGAACTTGGTTGATTTCTATATACCGAGCCTGTCCCGCCAGAAGACTTTTGTTCACTTTTAGAGTATGAAGCAGCGAATTTCGGTGTTCACAATTCAAAAGAAAGCAGATTAGATCTATACACTCCCGGGGCTTGTCGGTAATTTCATTTTCATGTATACCAAGCACCATATCAATACTAAAGTGATGGTGTTTGTCTTTCCTAGTAGGCAATGGAGAGAGCGAGTTGTAGTGTATAATCCCCCCGATGATATGGGTTAGTGGGGTCGAGGTGTTTGACTCGAGTTCAGCCATGCCTGCAAAGGGCCAGATTGGTTTCTCAAAAGCCGGCATGGTGGCTAACACGTGATATACTATTTTCTTCAGCATATTCATCTCGCCCTTATATTTGATAGCAAGGCGGATTAAACCGGGTTGTGCTAAATACTCCCATAGCTTCTGTACATTAAGTAGAGTGGGAGTGATGCTGGGTTGCGGTATATAAGGCGGGACCTTCCTAGTCACAAAGCCTTGACTGTGTGCTAGACGTATCCGGTGATTGATTTCAGTTTGTGTTGGCGGAAGTGTCTTAAATGCATTAGTGAGTTCAACTGCCTTCTGGAAACACGGCTCTTTAAACTGGTACTTCAAAATTCCCAGCAGACCGGTTAAGATTTCTTCAAAGAAAAGCCCTGTTTGCTTGTTAAGATGGAAAAGCATTCGAATACTGTCCTCCTCAAAATGAACATTGGCCTGGGCCACATCACGCATAAGTTTCTTCAAATCATCGCTAGCATATTCTAAGTTGTTTGAACACAGTAGAAGAAGCAACATCTGCTTTAAACAGGCCATGGGTTGAACAACAGACCCCGACTGAGCAGCCTTATCCAACCCAACGATTATTTCAATCAACCCACCACTACTCATCTCCATGTTAACTGGATAAGCGGCCAAAGCCACCTTCATTAAATTGTTAGGTTGTTGGATAGTATCATATTTACACGGATCTAAATTACTAAACATGTATCCTTCTTGAACTACATCGGCAGTCATTACATAACCCAAAAGCAAACCCAATACTAAACCAACACTAACCCATCGCTTATCTCTTCTCAGCACTAACCCCATCGGTGAATAAGACAGTTGACTATATGTATCATATCGGCTCGATGTCCTTGAACAATTGCCATCAATCTTCCACATATTAGTTATCAAGGGTTAACAAGTAAGGACAAAAATAAAGCTGAACATTCCAAAAACCTAAAACCTTCCATAAAAGGAAAACTTTCTCAAAAAGAAGCCTAATAAAAACCAAAATTTCCCATTTAGTCATAATAAAGATAATTCAAACTAATCCCATTTTTACTTAGTCAATGCATCATTGGGTTTGGATTTACGTTGACGCGGTTGTGAAGAGGATTCGTCAGTAAATGGGTTAGATATGAAAGTAGGAGGGAAAGTGGGCTCTATCGCAGGTTTAGTATTGGGATTTTGGGGGGAAAGAGCGTTATCATCTGGACTAGGTGTGGGCTTAGGGGGGAGGACTGCGTTATCAAGTGGTTTTTCTTTTGATCTTGGTATTGGAATAGGACCGGGTTTATGTTTGCGTTTGGGCAATGGGCTGGTGTTGGGGGTAGTTCTGCCATAGGGCTTAGTAAAGGGCTCGGACTCTGATATGGGTTCGAGATAAGACTTATCAAGTGAGACTGGTTCATTTGGATCATCGGTCACCTCATACCCAATTGAATTGAAACCCTCGTCAGTTTCGTCCTTCCCCGCTTGGTTAGGCTTGGAACAAGCATTGACTTCTTCTTTTTCCTCATTGTTTGGCTTCTTATCTTCTTCTTTCTCTGGTTGATAATTTGATTGTCCCTGGCTTTTGTCTGTTTTTGGAGCTGCGATTGACCCAGAACCGGGCGGCTTTCTATCATCATCATCTAACACGTCTTTTGTTTCGGTACGCCTGTCCTCGTATTTCTCTTTGGATAGATCATCGTTTTTGTTTTTAGTTAACTCACTAGAGATAATACTTGCTTCGCATGGTTTTGGGCCTATATGCTCATGTGCCATTAATTCACAAGTTTCAGGTATCTCATTTGCCCTAGCATTAATACCACCCGAAAATATAAAATACCACCCCAGACCCACCGCAGCTATACCCGCCCCAAGCACACAACTAGCCATTAATACCTGTCTATTCTTAAGCATGTGCTATCTCAAAATGTTTTTGGGGTAAATACTCTAACTCAATCACAGATCTCCTAAATCTAGGATCACTTTTCAAGTCGAGTACAAAAAATATCCGAAAGGTGCCACTAACCCAAAACTACCACAACTCAAAACTACCCACATAACTCACTACTATCTCACTACTACCTCACTACTACCTCAATCTAAATAATCATAACAACAATTCAACCCAACCCAATACCAACACAATCTAATTCATCACAAATTAGCACTCTTTATTCCCACTAACCCAATACTAACCCAATACATAGTCGAAAAGGGCTGTAACTATATAATGCGGTTCTTTATCCGATTATTGATTATACACAGACACTTACTAGTCTCTACCGCACATGTCTAGCCCAAATCTAGCACAATACCATCGTCCCAAACAGTCTATCCAGACTTTCTTTATCTACTCACTGGACTGGTATTAAGTTGGGCATAGTTGTTACAAATCGCACCATTGTCCTAAGTCAGCTTATTCCTTTTCCTAATTTAACGAAACACAACCCACTACTAACTCAACTCAACTCAACCCACCACCAACATAACCCACTACCAACATAACCCACTACCAACATAACCCAACATAACATAACCCACTACCAACTCAATCTAATCTAAACTTTCAATAATCAAGCACTGGGAGCAGAAGATACTAAAACAGTTCTCAGAAAGGACAGCGTTACACACCAAACAATGCTGGTATGCCCCATCCGTCTGAGCCTCCACATTGTCACTAGCACCACTATCCTTGCGAACAGCCTTCTTCTGACCCCGATTAAGCGAGGTCACCTGTACTAAATCCACTAGCTCATCGGGCTCTTTCTTAGCAATCTCCACCAGATTCACGATTTTGAAGACTTTAACTCCCTCGGCATTTTCATAGCTAGTTACGGACCCGCTGAAACCGTTCTCTTTGTTCTCCCCGCACTCTTTTAACGCCTTCCGCGACTCTCCTACCTCCTCCTTTGGCCGCTGGGCCTCCTCCTTCGGAATCATCTTTTTCAGATACCCAGCTAGAGATAATATCCAATGATTGTATTCATATAACCCAAAAGAACAAAAGTAAAATACTAATCTCCCAAGATAGCATATTTGCTAAGTTTACACCCAATCAACATATAATACGTTAAATTAAACATCCTCCAGCCAATATCAAGACACTACAGCCACTACTAGACTACAAACCACGATTATTATCACCCCATTTTATTTCACTAATTTACTTGGTATGAAGGAAAGAGACATTGCTGAACTACTTAAAGAGTCGACCGATGCCAAAATCAACGCCAAGAACACGTGGCAGTCCACTCTGATTGATGAGTTTTCTAATATCGACCGGTTTAAAGAAGATACAACTCAAAGCACTAACTTCCAGCACGCCAGCATTGTTTTAGATGGCTGTGTTCGTGTTTACAGCACTAGAGTCGATAGTGTTGTTGATGAGGCCGATCGGCTAATGGAGTCAATTGGCCGCACCAAAGAACCTGAAAAGCCTAAATTTCGCGAAAAACGCCATCCGACCATTGAGCCTAACCCAGAAGCTATCTCACTACCCAAAAAGACCGTCTCTCCAGATAGCGAAATTCTTGAGTATCTCTCCAGAGAATCAAAAGAAGGAGATACACGCGGACTTCTTCTTAATCTTCTTTGTTGGAGTGATAGCACAGGCATTAGTCTTGTTACTCCCCAGCCAATTCCAGCACCCGAGCACATTCCTTTCGCCCCTACCCACCTTCTTAACCAACCGCCTAAGTCCATTAGTCCCATGTTTGCCCAGTTTACACCCGATAAATCTTTAGACGACTTAGCCATTCCCACCTACGCCTACCAAATCAGCTACGACAATGAACCCATGCCCCACATACCTCCACCCGATCTTGATGACTTCCCAGCCGAACTCTCACCTGATGATCCACCCGAATTCAATGACTATCCCCATCCCACTCAAACACAAACTCAAGACAACCCCGATCTCGCTCAGTCTTCCTCAACCACACTCTCTAGAGCCGAGCTGCGTCTAAGCATTTCGCCTTTTGGCTACTTTAAAGGCTGGGCCGGACCCGCCCACTGGAAAGTTCAGAAGCGAAAGAAGCCCTCACCAGCCGACACATCTAACAACAAAGACAAAAAGAAGCCCGAAATAGACTTCCTAACTGCCAGCCACCTCCCACTCAATCTTCTTTTTGAACCAGACGATAAAATCGTTCTTACACCCCAACAAATCACCGAAAGAAGGTCCTGCAACCACACCCTTCCCACCGACTACCACATCAAAGCCGAACACCTCTATCAAATGCTTCTCTTCCCCAACCAAATCTATCTCCAACTTACACCCACATCTATCCCTACCACCGCAACTCTATCACCAACTCCTCCATACTCTGCCGAAGCCGACTTTGATATTGACTCACCCCCTAACAACAACACCCCGCCTTCACCAAATACCCCTACCACCCCAACTC